TGCATACACAGCCCTTGTGTACATTAACCCCTAAACGCCTAAACGGCTATATTTAACCAAAGAACCATGGCTGTGCGTCAACATATATATAATGTATATGCCATTTCGCATAGTGGACGACATTCTGGTAACAGTGCAGTTCAGTGCAGCTCGGGTTATTATCAAATTATTAATTGATTAGTTTTTTATTCTTGTATCATATAATTAAACATCAATGTACCATTCACCTGTCATCACTTCTGGTCAACAGTTCATGAATGTTGTCTTTCTAAGATGTTGCAGCAAGACAAAAATTATACTGCATGCGACCCTTTCCCCTGCCCCCCCCCCCCCCAACAACCTACATCAGTTGCAAGCAAAGATGCTGTACGTTCGTTTCTTGATCGTGAATTTTAGAGGCAAATTCTGACTAGCTTGATTTGTATCTCGAGACACTAACAAAAGCGTTAGAAAAAGACCGCGACAGAGCAAGGAAGTGGACACGTTTTGGGCGTGCCAAGCGGGAGCAACTTTCAGCCTGTGCCAACCAGCGTACTCTGCCTGAAACACTTCGAGCCCGATTGCTTTGCGAACAGAATGGCTTAGGACATGGGATTTGCAAAACGGTAGGCCATTTCCGATTTATATTTGTCATGATCACAACAGCATAGGGATACGTATATAATGAGTATATATATAAAGGTTTCAAGAGCAATGTAGTATAACAGGGAGTAATCTGTACAATATCATAATATGGTTATATAACACGTATCTACACCTATATACTTAATCAAGGAGTGCAAAATGGAAATAAGGTATACAAATATACGCTCCAAATATTTATTTATAACAATAGATATCAGAAGCTAAAACGCAAATTAAGTACAAAAACAGAATATAACTTTATATTGGACTTGTACATCCATTATATATGGTACATACTGGAAATAGTTTGTGCTGACATGACATTATTTAATATCTGAACGCTGATACAAATGTCTTTTTTGATTGGTTAATTGACTGACAATATCGCACAAGAAAATCATATAGAATTAGAAAAAAATATATCAGGCAAACGGATAGGAAACGGTATGCTTTCTCTCTATGTGGATGGTGTGTGTGTGTGTGTGTGTGTGTGTGTGTGTGTGTGTGTGTGTCCATCCATATGCTTCACTGTGTGGATGTGTTTTCTGTTTGCTGAATCCGATGCAAATTATATGACATGTGTTTCCACCTGCTAACACCTCTCACTGTTGTATTCGTGTAATCCTACACTACTCATTAGCATACCACTGTTGTCGCATACAAAAGGCACTGCATTACATGGAGGCACTTAGAGCCTACAATAATTTATTTACCTTTTATATGATATTTATATATCTATATTTATATGATATATACATATATACATATACATGTCTGTGTGCGTGTGTAGATAGCAAGATACATAGATATATAGATAGATACATACATAGAGATAGACAGATACAGAGATAGATACATAGATAGATACATCTTTAAAATGTTTTCTTCATGGTTACAACATGCAAATATACTAAGACATTATAACATCATATTAACATCATTAACAAAACTGCTAATCTAAGTTGACTCATTGTGACGACATCTTACTATAGAACTGGCTATTTAAAGCAGGAATCAGTGAGGTCCTTCAAAAAAGAACGTCTTTTAGATGTCAGAATACGGGGGTGGGTCATCCTTGGGTTTCCAGTTAGGATCTTGTGGTGGAGCAGAGGGTCCTTGGGGAGTTGCAGAATAACCATGTGGAGGTGGGTACTGTCCCTCCGCAGGTGGATACTGCCCTTGAGGTGGATACTGCCCCTGAGCTGGATACTGCCCCTGTGGAGGTGGGTAATGCCCCGTTGGATAAGAACCCTCTGGCTTTGCAAAGTGTCCTTGCCCGCCAGAAGGTGGAGCGAACGTCTGCCCTGGCGCCATTGCAGCTGCTTGTCCACTGCCAGCATGTATCACCTGTGCGTTGGCGGGGAATTGGTAGACGTTGGCTACTGGGTGTGACCCTGGTATGACACCGGCCAGATTGACACCGCTGTATTTCAAGCGGTCAGGGTGGTCAGCTGGAAGGTCGTTGTACTCCCGCAATGCTTTCCTACTCGCCTTTACGTAAAAGTAGATCAGGAAGCCTGGAAGGGATACAGACTTTAGTCAAGATGAATACACACATACGGAGAGGTTATATATTCAAAGATATATGATATGTATGTATGTATATATATATATATAACACATACATACACACACACACACACACACACACACACACACACACACACATATATATATACAATATATATAATATATATATATATATATTATATATATATATATAATATAATATATATATATATATATAATATATACATATATATATATAAATTATTTATTATATTTATGTATATGTATATATAGTATGTATAATATATGTATGTATATATTATATATATATATAATATATAATATATATATATATATGTGTGTGTGTGTGTGTGTGTGTGTGTGTGTGTGTGTGTGTGTGTGTGTGTGTCTGTGTGTGTGTGTGTGTGTGTGTGTGTGTGTGTGTGGCAAGGAAGACTAACTCACCTCCAAAACACACAAAGACGATCATGATTGCAATCAGGCCATAATATCCGGTTATAATCGGAATTTGAACCAAGGGAACTGCGGCAACTAAGAAAAAGATCCCGAAGATGAGTGAAGTCCTCATGCAGCCAGCACGAACGTTGATGCCATACAACTGGTGGAGAAAATAAAGAGATTATATAACTGTCATTTTCATTATCATCATTATAACCGTTATCACTATTCCTATTATTACCATTGGGATTTTTCTTCTTATTATTATTATCCTTGTTGGTGTTGTTCTTGTTGCTGTTGTTATCACAGTTATCATTATTATTATCAGAACCATTATCATTATCGTTATTAATACTATTACTAACATTATTATCATCCCGAATATCATTACCATTATTATTCTCTCTCTCTCTTTCTCTCTTCTTTCGCTCTCTCTCCTCTCTCTCTCTCTCTCTCTCTCTCTCTCTCTCTCTCTCTCTCTCTCTCCTCTCCCTCTCCCTCTCACTCTCACTCTCCTCTCACTCTCCTCTCACTCTCACTTCTCACTCCACTCTCACTCTCACTCTCCCTCTCCTTCTCTCTCTCTCCTTCGACATTCCTCCCACCTCTTACCCTCGTTCCCCGAAGCATTGAGGGGTGCTTGCGGCGCATATCCTGATTCACTACAATCACGGTGGTAGGCTGAGCCGGAGCAGCCGGGGTTCCGGCTTGGGCGTCCATTGTTAAGGCAGGAAAGTAGACGGCTGGAAAAGTACATGTATAAGTAACACAATTATCTATACACGCGAAATAGTACAGTTCCATTGTATATATGTACACACACGTCTAATGCTCATATATGCACACACTATACACGTGTGTATATATGTCATCCATATACACGTATATATATAATGTATAAATATACAAAAATTATATACATATATGCAACAACATACAACAGTTATATGTGTGTATATAGACACATACACATACACACACAAAATTGACATTTATATATATATATTATATATTATATATATATATATGTTGTGTATGTGTTGTGTGTGTGTGTGTGTGTGTGGTGTGTGTGTGTGTATGTGTGTGTGTTTGTGTGTGTGTGCATGTATATATTATATATAAATATATATATATATATATATATATATATATATATATATGTGTATGTATGTGGTATACGTATGTATGCGTGTGTTGTGTGTTTGTGTGTGTGTATGCATGTGTGTGTATATTATATAATATATATAATATATATTATATGTGTATTTAAATATTGTATATTATAAAATATTATATATCACACACACACATACACATATGTGTGTACAAGTGTGTGTGATTAATGTATATCTGTGTTGTTGTATGTGTTGTTTGTGCGTGTGCGTGTGTGTGTGGTGTGTGTTGTGTGTGTGTGTGTGTGGTGTGTGTTTGTGTGTGTGTGTGTGTTTGGTGCTATTATATTATATGTATATCATATATATATATATATATATGTGTGTGTGTGTGTGGTGTGTGTGTGTGTGTGTGTGTTGTGTGTGTGTGTGTGTGTGTGTGTGTGTGTGTTGTGTGTGTGTGTGCGTGTGTTGCTGTGCGTGTGCGTGTGTGTTGTGTGTGTGTGTGTGTGTGTATGTAATATGTATATATATATACTATATATAATCAATCGTGTAGTGTGTGTATGTGTGTGTGTGTGTGTGTGTGTGTATATGTGTGTCATTGTACCTTCGTGCATATGTTCGGTGCGTGCGTGTGTACGTGTGTGTGTGGATGTGTTGTGTGTGTGTGTGTTGTCGTGTAGTCTGTGTGTGTGTGTGTGTGTGTTGTGTGTGTGTGTGTGTGTGTGGATGTGCTATATATATATATATATATAATAGTAGTGTATAATTATATGCATATAATGATGTATATATTATGTGTGTATATTGTATATATGTAGTGCATATGTGTTGTAGTGTGTGTGTGTGTGGTATATGTAGTGTGGTGTGTGTGTGTGTGTGTGTGTGTGTGTGTGTTTCGTGTGTGTGTGTGTGGTGTGTATGTGTGTTGTGGTGTCAATGATACAGTATAGATTAATCATATTGAGCTCATACTATAAGTAAAACAAGTGCAGTAAGCGAAAGTATATAGAATGAAAGGAAAAACATTGTTAATACTTTTTTCTCATACAGATGTTTCATGTAAACATCATCACTATGGTGACACTTGGCAACTCTTCCCAAATGAAAAGTCGACGCTTACCTCAAGCTGATTTTAAAGAATAATTGTTCATATTTTTACTTTAAATATAAACATTTCCTCACATAGAAGACCGGAAAAAACGAAACAAGCTATCCACACTGTTTAAAAATAATACATTCAGAAACAGAGAAATGGCATCGATTTTCCGCCATTGCCATTTCCCACCAAACAGTTTGTTTACATCGTCAGACTGGTCTATTTTAACAAACTTTTAGTTTTCATATTTCAGATATACACCTGTGAGTTCAGCTAATTACGATGGGAATTGTCTATATTTGTGACTAACTGTATGTGTCAGATTAACACCGAAAGTATCGTATGTTGCCTCTTAGTCTGATGCGTGTCTTCTGTACCTCCGCCTGTTCCACAACTAGCAGCTCAACTACGAGCAGCTACGAGATACACCCATTAACATTCTCTCTCCGTAGAAGGATATTTGTGCGTGTTTGAGGTGGACGGGGTGTGCCTGAAAAATAAAACGAAAAAAAAAGTTGTAAGTTAGTGTCTTGATAGTGATTTTTAGAGGCAAATTTTGACTAGCTTGATATGTATTTTGAAATACTAACATAAGTATTTGCAGTTATTAAAAATTCGTCACTGATGTTTCTCGTTAATTACTGTAAACAGTTGTGTTTATGTAAACCGCTATTATAAATAAACGATCATTAATGGTCGTTTATTTATCTGCTTACTACTATTTTCATTTCATCTATTCTTAGTAAAATATTTATAAAAATACTTGAAAATGGAATCCAATGTAAAATAGCATAGTCTACCCCAACTACCATTTTTTGTGTAAGTAATCACAATCCATTTTCTTTTATTGTAAGATAGACTATTATATTTATTGTGGACACAATACTTACGTTTTCTTTCACATCAGTCCATTGATGTTAAGGGTAAAGACGACGATCTCATCTTAACTGCTTTTGCATACTTAAATGCTCCCGTCGAAGCATTGTTATATCCATTGTAAATAAAACATTTTGATTTTTTAAAAGGAGCAAACTGTTTTAAAGACGAAGTAAGCACTTGTTTCATGCAAATAAATAACTATTTCAACTTTGGCCTTGGAAATGGACATAGAGAGCTGGCGACTAACAGTCATTAATGGACATTTCGTCTCTTGCGGGTACTAGTTATACGTATTACTGGCAGATATGTTTTATATAATGCATTGTACCTTTGATAATGGCTCGGTGCTCTCCCCATCCACAAACTCATCTTAATAAGAATAAGCCCTGAAAATTTCACGTATAAATCTTCTACTGTTCACAAGTTCTGTCTCTTCCTGAAAACTGGGTGCTAGGGGCCAATGTTTCACACATTTTTTGGAGGATAGATGTATAAGGGACCCGACTTTTTATAACCACGGGGAAACCACCGTATACAGCTGTTAAGACTTTTATATCGCATGTACACCTATACACTGTACGTTCTGCACTAAGTGGAGGCTACATTGTGGAAATAAAATATACACATATATACTCAAAATATTCATTGACAACAGGTGTAAACTGATACACCCAAAAAGTAAGTTTCTTGAGGTAACATCGATACACTTCAAGGCAAATGGAGCATTGGAATTGATAACTGACTGATTTTGCATGGTGCATGTAGAAAGTAGTATGTGTAGGCGTGATGCTCGCTCATACCGGAACGAGGTGCAGAAGGCCTGTGTGCAACTGGATAGCTGAAGACCCGCGCCCTTATATAACTTGAGACGAAATGAAGTGCTTTTTGCTTATTTATGATCCTCTATGTCTCTGTGTGATATCCTGTGCTTGTGTACATATAAAATAACTATTGTTGCTTTTAACGAATTTAATTTCTCTCATCCACTATACTCTATTCATTTACTTTAAGTTTGCAAAATAATTGACTGATATAGTAAAGTTCGTTTAGTAAAAAAAAAAAAAAAAAAAAAAAAAAAGAGAGAACCAACTCAGTGTGAATACATATGTCCGATGTCACCTTCATCTGCCAACATTAAAAAAAAAACATAAACATTACAAAATGTTCGTTAATACTATCATGGATTCACAGCAAAAATTCCCTTAAAAATAAAAGAGAATCGACCTCTTAGATTTCCGAGTAGGGCGGTGGGTCATCAGTGAACTTCCTCTCGGGTTCTTGCAGTGGAGGAGCAGAGGGACCGTGTGGAAGTCGATGATATCCCTGCGGAGTCGGGTCCTCCTGTGCGGGTGGATAGTTCCTGTGTGGCGAGGCGTGTCCTGGCGTCACTGCTGCCTGTCCTCTGCCATCACTTGGTCCTTGGGCGGTGGTGGGGAAGTGGTAGACGTTCGCCACTGGGTACGGGGCCCCGGGTTCAGTGAAGATACTGTACTTCGCGCGGTCAGGGTGGTCGTTTGGAAGAGCGTTGAACTCCCGCAATGATTTCCTCTTCGCCTTTATGAAGCAGTAGATCAGGAAGGCTGCAATGGAGGAGGACATCGGTCAATATCCATGCAATGTTTGTACATCTTTATGGGTATGTATGTAGAATGATTGATAGACATATCCACATGTCTAGATTAATGTAATGATCTGTAACTATTTAGTCAGCTAGTTAGATCTGACGATATTTGATATTAGGAGTGGTGGTAGTCATGACACTGATAACAACAATGATAATGATTATGATGATGATGGCGACGACGAGGACGATGA